GCAGAGCCTGGGATATTCCCTCGGGGACTGGAGGCAGATCAGTGAGCTGTTACTCAGAGAATCACCATATTTGTCCATTTCTGACATATCTGAAAAGTTGAAGTTACAATAATGACACTGTGTCTTGTTTTATACCCTAATCTTACCTGTGGTTGAAGATCAGTACAGTAGTCTAGGAACTTTCCTGGAGATACAGTGGTTAAGAATCCACCTTACAATGCAGGGACATGGGTTCGATCCCTGGTTGGGGAGCTAAGATCCCACATGCCATGAAGCAACTAAGTCCTGTGCTCCATAATCACTGAGTCCGTGTGCCCAGAGAATCTGTGTGCCCCAACAAAAAAATCCCTCATGACACAGCAAAGATCTCATGTGCCACAACTAAGACCCACTGCAGTCAAATCAATCAATCAATCAAAATATACCTTTGTTGGATTGCAAAATTAGACTTCAGTCCTGCAGTTAGACACATACACACACACAGAAAATGTACATATTTTTAAATAGGATATTAATTTGTGACTTATATTATTATTGCCCTAATTTTAAAGTTTCAGAGCAGATTTTCTCCAAGCATCTGAGGAACTCTGTAGTTACAGGAAGGTATTCTTGGGGATGCAAGTCGTCTCTTAATTTTTCTGTTAGGTTAGATTTTTGTTGCTCTGATAACCTTTAAAAACTTAGAACAGCATATTCTACATCATCTGGAGGATCCCAAACTGCCATTTGATTTGTGCTTACAAACAAATTGATGCCACATGGTATTTCTAAAGGGAAAAAAGAAATGGCTTTAATATATAAACCATGCATTCACCCCCAAATGAAGGCCAAATGCTGTCATGATTTACTGTACAAAAGAAGTTTTCACAGCAGTTCCCAAAGGGCAAATTGGGGTGAAGTGAATCATCACATAACACATGGTGATGCAGACCTAGCCGTCCTGCCACAGGGAAGGCTGTAAAGGCAGTCCTTTGTGCCAGGGTCTCTGGCTTCCACTCCCATAACATATTTGGACCATGCATCAAAGGTAGGGGAATCCAGTCCTGATCACCATCAGCTGGCATCTCGTAGGACAAACTGTGCAGAAGGCTTTAGCAGAGCACCTTTCCATGTAACAGGGGCATAAAAGGAACCTCACCTTTAAGCCTAGTGCAAAATGATGGAAGAGCAAATTGGGGCAGAAAGAGCGAAAGTGAAAGAAATAGGCTTGATAGAGGCTTTGTCATGTAAATTAGGTATCTCTTTTTAAAAATTCAATGCGTAACTGCTATATTTTAATGGATAACCAACAAAGACCTACTGTGTAGCACATGGAACTCTGCCCAATGTCATGTGGCAGACTGGATGGGAGGAGAGTTTGGGGGAAAACGGATAAATGCATATACATGGCTGAATTCCTTCCCTGTTCACCTGAAACTACCATAATATTGTTAATCAGCTATACCCCAATACAAAATAAGGTTTTTTTTAAAAAATTCAATATGTAGCAATTATAGATAGAAAGACCGAGAATTTTTGAAAGCGTGTATCCCATGCTCTTCCACTTAGTAAAATTTGAGCAGCCATTGTCAGACAGACTGTAATCATTTGGCAAAATGTGGTCCCCATCCTTAGAGTACTTATATTTTAAGGAAAAAGACAGGCTCTTAAAATAACTTTAGTATAATTGGAGTGCTTCGGGAGAAACAAAAGAGCACTTTTCCAGCATGATACAAATGAAGGAAGGGCCAGATAATCATGAATCACGATGGGTTTGTGTGGATGTGTATCAAAGTGAGAAACAGAAGTGGAGTCACAGATTTCAAGTGATGAAAGGAAGAGTATCAGTGCCAGACTCTACAGTAGACACACTGTTCTTCCTCAGGAGAGAGAATTTGTCCTTCTGCTAAACACCAACACACATGCTGTTTGCTGTAACATTTCAGTCTGCTGCATATTCTTGGCTGTTGTTTAGTCACTCAGTCATGTCTGACTCTTTGCATCTCCACTGGACTGCAGACCATCAGGCTCCTCTGTCCATGGGATTTCCCAGGCAAGAATGCTGGAGTGGGTTGCCATTTCCTTCTCCACATATTCTTGGTACCTTGTACTTAACTCAGCATCTGAGCTGCAGTCTTTGCCAACTCCTCTTGCTCTTTTTCTTATAAAGTCACAAAGTATACCAATAGCAGTTTTTTTTTTTTTAAGTAGTAATGAATCATCCCAGAAATACCCTAGAAATGCTAGGGTATTTCTAATATCTCAAAGGGCATTGCAAAATCTTAAATATGATTTTCATTCTTTTCAAAATTAAAAAATCAAGTATTTGTGTGGGAAAATTATTAATAATCCAAGAACACCCTATTATATCTTTCAAAGGGAAGGCAGAGTGATGCCTTCTCAAGATAGCCCAAGGATCAGAACAATTCAGGTTAGAATTGTGCTAAACTTATGAAAGCCATGTGGCTTGGTTAATTACTCTATAGCCCAGACTAGAAGGCATGCACGGATGCTAAGCTGCTTTATTCATGTCTGACTTTTTGCGACCTATGGACTGTAGCCACCAGGCTCCTCTGTCCATGGGATTCTCCAAGCAAGAATACTGGAGTGGGTTGCCATGCCCTTCTCCAGAGGATCTTCCCAACCCAGGGATTGAACCCACATCTCTTACGTCTCCTGCACTACAGGTGGGTTCTTCACCACTAGCGCCACCTGGCACACTCCCAAGGAGCTGCATTAAAGTTTTTCAAAGTCTTTCAAAAAAGAAACTTGTAAGCATGAAGGTTAACAGAATGGGAAATGGTAACCCACTCCAGTGTTCTTGCCTGGAGAATTGAGGAGCCTGGCAGGCTACAGTCCATGGCCCCAAAAGAGCACGACTGAGCTCTGAGCAATGAAGGTTAAGCAGAGTCTTCTTCCTCTTGCCACTTTGGGGTCAATGCCACACATCAGCCTGGAAAACCGGAACCCAGTGGGTCCAAAGAGCTCCTCATGATTTGGATGCTTACAGCTTTTCAGTGGTAAGCCTACAGATCAAGAAAGCAAGTTGCAGCAAAAAGTGAAAAGGCTTCAAGCTTCAAAGGGAATTCTGAGTAATGGGATCTTGAGCCGGAGGTGCTCTAGAAATATGACCAAATTCAATACCTAAATATCTGACATCAAGTTTGATAAATTGGAAACTGTGAATTGACATGAATAATGACTATCTCCTCAGCCCCACCCATACTCATGTGATTCTACTGGAATTTAGACACAGAGAATATTGAAATAAAAATCCAGAAAAGAAAATAAATATATAACATGAAATGATCCAGCCTAATTGCAGTTTATGTTGATGTTGGGTAAGAATTCTGACTTCCCGAAGGTTATCCAAACCAAATTCTGGACCCTTGGAGAGTGTTCTGTATTTATTGTTCTGTAATTTTACCTGCCATTTCCTAGTGTCCTTTGTGCTTAGGAAATATTTTGTGTATGTCTCTTTTTTGCAGCATAGCTGCTGGTTTCAGTGAAAAATGGATGGTGAGGTATTTATTCACACACAGAGTTTTCCTTTCCTTTTTGCATTCTTTAAAAATAAAACCTTATAGCTTCATCCCCCTAGGTAGTGATAGAAGTCAGGCAGAAATTATTTAAAGGAAAAAAATGAGATTAATATTTTAGTTTGAATGTCAAAGCAGAGGGAACTTGGGCAGTGTAAAAGGGTCATGAATTCACAGGCAATATTATCTGTAGTGTTTTTTCTTTATATATAACTGTAGAAAAAGATTTAAAATCTACTGTTTAATTTGAAATAAATATGTAACTAAAACTAAGTTGTTTTTTTAAAGTTAAAAATTTTCCATTAGCTCTTTTCACTTTCTTTGTCTTTTATTCATTTCACCGCTTTCTTGAAATCTCATTCCATAAGCATGTTTTATTAATGCTCTATTAATAAGCATTCACTTAAAACATGACTGATTAAAAAGTAGACCTGATTTTAAGTAAGTGTTCTGAAAATGTTTCATTTATTGAATTCATTGAGGTTTAAGTTCTCATTTGTATTGCTAGAGGGTAAATTACAGATACTTATGCTTGTTTTATCATTATAATGAAACCAGTACTCATATTTGCAATACTAATTAAAATTCGGCTCTGACCCACATAAATTCAGCCTCTCCCCCAAACAGATTATTTTCAAATCTTTATACAAAGATTACTATATATGTGTGTGTGTGATAATGAAAATATCTATCTTTGGTGTAACATGATCAAAGTTAAGAGAAAGTAAAAATTAGGTTCAGACTTTTTAATACTGCAGGGTACATTTTTAGTACCCTACAGAGAGAATTAGTCACACGACTCCCATTAACTTTAATGGAACTTGTATGGGCAAATTGTATGCTGAAATTCTTAGGAAGTGAGACGTCAGGAGAGTTTACCAGTTTCATTTTTCCTCTTCAGAACTTCAGTTTTGACTACCTTTACTTTCTAATGGTCTAGAGGGAGGACATGCCAATAAAAATGATTAACATAAATGTTTTCCAAGTTTTATAAGACCACATTTTCTCTGCATTAAGCCAGAAGTTAGAAATCTGCAAACAATGCTTCAATAATAGCATTTGAGTTTCAATTAGCAAGTAAATATATCTAAATAAAGAACATAGCTTTCAGACAGGAATATAATAGTATTCTTTGAACATGAATACTGTAGGATTATTTATCCCCTAGCACTTATTCATTTTTCACATTCCTTTCACATTTTCACATTACAATAGCAAAATCAAAATTTTTAAAGTAATTTCAGTTTAATAAATGTGAAATTAAGTACCTTTGTATTACTACATGTAAGTTTATATTTGAAATGAAATGTATTTGGAATTTTACATATTATTCTTATTATTTAACACACTTAGGTACTGATGAAAAAGAAACACATAGACAATTAAAAAGCATCCTCATGAAAAGCAAAAGGAAACTAAATGTTCTTTACAAGCAATATCTTTCCACAATTATGGATTCAATCTCCTGACAATGTGGTGAAGTTATGATCAGCTAGCAAACCCACTCAAAAGACTTTAGTATGATATTAAATTTATATTTACCATACAAAATAAAAAACAGACGAAGATTTCTTAATGTCCACTTATTCAAGATGCTCATAGCATTATAAAATCTGGAAACAACTAGATATCTCTCAGCTCTCTCTTTTCTCCTCAAATAGATCTATCTGTATTTCCAGAATTTTCTAGAAATTCACCATTTAAAACATTAAAAAGTTTTTAAGAGAATCCTCACTGTAAGCTGTAAGAATCTTTTTTTTTTTTTTTTAAATCCTATTTGGGTATCTAAATGACAAAAAATGGATTTTTCAAACCAAAATAACCTTGTTTAATCAGGAATAAAAGGCAGACATTAATGAAAGCACATATAACTAACACATAAATAATTTCATCTTGGATTAAAGTTTCAGAATAAAAAAAAAAGATCTGTCAAATGCAATCTGTTACATAAGCAAAGTTTCCTGTAAAAATATTGCTTTGTTTTCATACAAACCCTTGAAACACGCATGCCATCAGTGACCATTAGTGCTGCAAGAAACATTAGCCATCCAGTCTACTCCATCATTTTAAAGGTAAAGAAATTGATCCTGAAAGAGGTAAATGATAATCGTAAGGCCTCTCAAGTACTTTGTTGCACGGAAAACTAGAATCCAAATATCGATTCCTCATGCATTCATTGAGCAAGTTTTTACTGAGTACCTACCATGGCCTTACACAGTTGTAGGAAATGGATTCAAGTGATGAAAGGAACATACCAGATCCTAACCATCATGGATCCAATATTCTAAATAGGGAGATAAAACAAAGAAAATAAACAAAGAAAAAAGACAATTTCAGATTGTGGATCATATGCAAAAAGACTTGGTATGATTTTTACCAACTGAGAATGCAGCTATTTGCTAGGATTTCTCTTCTCAACTCTGATATCTCCTTTTCTCTCCTTATAGTTAAAACAAAGGGAATTCCCTGATGGTCCAGGGGTTAGGACTATGCACTTTCACTGCAGAGGGCATGAGTTCAGTCCTTGGTCCAGTCCAGTTTCTGCTTGGGGAACTAGGAACTCAACGGGCTGTGCTATGTGGCCAAAATTTAAAAAAAAAATAAAGAGCGATTTATCAGTAGATCTGCCTTTTAACCATCCCTCATTAGTCAATTCCCTCAAAAGGCATCCACACATCCATAAAACACATCAATATTTGCCTTGCTTCATATAATGTGTTCATGAGATAGCAAAGATGTTCAATTTCACTGGAGTTTTTAAGTATCTGAATTACAGTTTTTGGACTTTTGAGTTTGTCCCTATGTCATAGGAGAAGTTCAAGGACTGAAAACCCAAGATCAGGTGATAAAAATACTTTCAGAAAATGTGTGTAGTTAAGGATTCTCCTGCAGATCAAAATAGCTATCCCTTCATGGTTATTTCTCATTCCATGTGATTTTTCTGTGTAGAGAACAAAAGAGATTTTGAAAGATGAGGTGGGGTATGAATCTGGCTGCTTGTAATTCTAATAAATTACACTGACTGTCTTGTCTTCAATGTCAGACAGTAAAACTGTTTCCCCTAACTAGCAAAAGGGATGCTCAGTGCTTTTGCCTTTCATTTTTTCTTAATGCATAATTTATGTATGGCCCATTTATTAATAACCATGAAGTGTTGTACCTAGAAATCTGCTCACAAAAGAACAGGATATATGGAATCAAAATGAACATTTCATAAGGCAGATAGTATTTTTATACGAAAAAAAAAAATCTTGCCCTAGCTAATTCTTTCTGAGAAGGTTGAATAAAATCCAACATATATTACTCAATTATTAATATAACCATACTTATCATACTAAACAAGAATTTTAACTATTTTCTGATAAATCTCAAGGGAAATAAAATATTTTTATCATGACATATTCTACCAGGGCTTCCTGGTGGCTCAGTGGTAAGGAATCCACCTGCCAATGCAGGAAACACAGGTTCAATCCCTGGGGCGGGAAGATCCCCTTGGAGAAGGAAATAGCAACCCATTCCAATTTCCTCCAGCCTGAGAAATCTCCTGGACAGAGGAGCTTGGCGGGCCACAGTCCATAGGGTTGCAAAGAGCTGGACAGGACTTAGCAACTAAATAACAGCAAAATTCTACCTAGAAGAGAAAATATTTCAGTAAAGCACCATTTCTGTGCATTCCTTCAAGGCAGACAAACTTTATTATTCACCTGGCATTTATTTTCCTCGCCTAACATGAATGACACATTGTACTGTAATTATAATAAAATCTATAACAGCTAATATTTATGAAGTATAATAATAATTATTTGTGAGGCAACAATTTTATAAGCTAGGTAGTATTATCATTTCATGTTATCAATGAGGAGAGATTAAATATTTTGCCCAATGTCACACAGTTGATGAGAGGAAGAAACGAGGATTTGAACTCAAGCATCTAAATCTTAAACTTATCTTCTTAATCATTAATTTCACTACTTCCCATGACCTGTTTAGCGTAGACATTCAAAAATGCATTAAAATTAAATTGAAATCTCAATAGATTTGGCCTTTTTGATATAAGCCATTAGGAAGACTGAAGTTTCTAAGTAAATATCAAGTTCATTGAATAATACTATGTTTGCCAAATATTCCAGACCTTGTAGAAGTCTAGAACTGAAAACGATTTTATCAATCATTCCAGTCCAAGTCCCTCCATTTTTATGCATGAATTCAATCCCTTATGAGTTCAGAGAGGTATAACAGGCTACTGAATGCCAAACAAGACCAAATTTCCTGATTTACAGGCAAGAATATTTGAAATGGGCTTTCCAGGTGACACTAGTGGGAAAGAATCCACTTGCCAATGAAGAAAATGCAAGAGGTTGAATCCCTTGGTCAGGAAGATCCCGTGGAGTAGGCAATGGCAACCCATTCCAGTATTCTTGCCTGGAAAATTCCATAGACAGAAGAGTCTGGTGGGCTATCGTTCATGGGCCTGCAAAGAGTTGGACACAACTGACCACGAGCACAATATATGAACTACACCCTACTGTTTTTATTTCTGTTCATGTATTTATTTGCAAATTAATTGCTCATACCTAGATTGTTAGCTTTACATAGTAAAGCTATGTATGGTGGACAGACTCAAAGGGTCTGGTATTGGAGTGGGCTGCCATGCCCTCCTTCATGAAATCTTTCTGACCCAAGGATTGAACCTGTGTCTCTTACATTGGCAGGCAGGCACATTCTTTACCACTGGTACCACCTGGGAAGCCCCCTATTACCTCTACCTCTTGATGTCCATGGCCTTGTGGGACTCCTTTTCCTTGAGTATGGATGAGATGTGTGACTTGCTATTAATCAATAGAATATAACAAAGGTGAAGAAATATGCATAATTGCATGTATGTGATTATGCTTGTTAAGATCACAGCTCCCATTTTGCAGGAGTCTCTCTTGGTCTTTCTGGCTTTGATGAAACAAGCAGTCATGTTGGAAGGCTCACGTGGTAAGAAATTGAGAGTGGTTTCTAGGAATTGAGAGAAGCTTGCAACAAATAACCTGCAAGGACATCCAACTGACAGCCAGCAGGAAAATGAGGCCTTCAGTCCTACAACCACAGGAAATGAATTATCGCAGTGACCAAAATTAAGTGAATGTGCAAATGGATCCTTCCCTGGTTGAATATTTAGATGATAACTCCATCTTGAATAAAGCCTTGTTTTTAGAGAACACAGCTAATCTGTGTTTAGACTCCTGATTCACAGAAATTTTCAGGTAACAAATATCTATTGTTTTAAGCCACTACTTTAAGGCACTTTCTTACACAACAATAAAAATTAACATATATAGTCACCCTTAAAATGACAAGTCCCTGACACTAAATTTAGAAGTTTAAGTAAAGTTTTGTTACTTTTTATGTAGTAGGAGGACTCCAATATATCTGTTAAATGAAAGAATGATAAAATATCTTTAGTAAAACATCAACAAGGAAGAAGTGACACATGATTATGTATTAATATGATTGCAACTTTTAAAAAAAGCTTATTGCTTGACAATTCCACTTATTCTTTTATTTCTGTGTATGTAGAGCTAGTGTTGCAGTCAAAAATAGCTTTGGTTGGAATCTCAAGATTAGAAAAGAAGTTACTTCTCTAGAAATTTTCCTTTTGCATGTGATTTTAATTTTTAAAAAAATTTTTTAATTTGTGGATAATTGCTTTAAAATGTTGTGGTGGTTTGTGCAGTACAATAATATGAATCAGTCATAATTATATATATCCCCTCCCTCCCTTCTCACATCTCACCCCTCTAGGTCATCACAGAGCACCACGGTGGCCTCCCTGTGTTATTTAGCAACTTTCCGCTAGTTATCTATTTTACAAATGATAGTGTATATATGTTAATGCTACTTTCTCAGTTAGTCCTACCCCCTCCTTCCCTAATGTTAGTTCTCTACATATATGATATGTATGATGCTATTATAGTTCCCCTTGTTACTTCAGGATCAATGCTGTAAAGATTTCATCTGTTGGCTTTTTAACAATCATTTCTGTGTTTAAGTTCATTAAAAGAACTTGTGACTTGTGACTATGTTTTCCTTTTTAAAAACTCTAAATCATGCTTGAATGCATGTACTTTATCTGAGTTATTCAGGCATTCTATAATGCCTAGTAATAAGTTTTCAAACACCAACCAACTATGAAAAACACATATGTAGATTTGAGTGTTTATAAATATGCTAGCTTAGTTTTTAATCTATTTATTTTTTAATTGACAGATAATTGCTTTACAGAATTTTGTTGTTTTTTGTCAAACATCAACAAGAATCAGCCATTTAATGTGACTATCTGTAAAACTAAGATAAAATGGCACCATTTCCACAGTTACTATTTGACCATAATGTTACTAGGATTATAGCAAATGAAGTTAAATACAGTGGCCAATTAAAACTATCCTGAACTTAAAAAGCCTTCATTTTGTACACTTAAATTTTTCAGGTTATTTTGCTTTCAGACATATAACATGGCTAATAAAAATAAAAAAGAATCTCACCTATATTAAGTAAATTTAAAATCACCCAGTTTGCATCATTATGTAGATAAAGTTACTGAAGTTCAGAGAGAGACCAAAAGTGATGAGGGACAGAAGAGCACTGGAAATTTCTTCTCCCAAAACTAATGAATGAGAACATGTGTGTGTGTGTGTGTGTGTGTGTGTGTGTGTGTGTGTACACTCAGTCACTAAGTCATGTCTGACTCGTTGCAACCCCATGGACTGTAGCTCGCTAGGCTCCTCTGTCCATGGGACTTTTTAGGCAAGACTACTATAGTGGGTTGCCATGAGCAAGGACCTCTAATTTCATATATACTTATCAAAATTAGTAACTGAAGCAGTCATAAAAGTAGAATATACCAGTTATGTGATCCTGTCTTCTCTTAGAGTACAAGGACCTAAATATTGAAACCTTAACTTCTATATACAGATTTATGCTTTCAGATGCATACTGAACACCAGGAAATGTTAATACAAGAGAATCTTAAGTAACAATTTCCCAAAAGAAAAAAAGTATCTTAAGAAATCATGGTTGTGGAGGAATAGGAATATCGTGTCAATATAATGAATAATTTTTGAAAAAAGATAGACTTTTTCATTCACTGATAGTGGGATTCACTATATTTGCTGAATCTGAAGCATTGCTTTCTGTGCTTTTGAAAGGAGCTATCTAATTACCATTCATTGTTCTAAACACATACAATGAAAGCCAGAATATGAAGCACAATGAAATTTGAAAAAAATTAGAAATTGAAAAATAAAAACTGATTACAGATTATTGATAATGTATGAAAGACGCTCAGAATCACTTATGAATATTATAAATTATGTACCAATTTAGCAATTCATAATCTCTCTAAAAGTTACATGTTCTGTATTAGATTAAACAGTAGAACTATGATAACTTAAAATAATTTTAAAATAACCAAACACTGTCAAACTTTTATGTTTATTCACATTTAAAACTGAAAACCTGTACATTTGGGGGGATTTTTTTACCTATTTCAAAACACAATATTTTGTTTTTCTCATTCTACTTAGAGGTAAAAGACCAAACGTAGTTAGAAAAAAAATATGATTTTTAACTTTTGGAATACAAAAGCAATTAGAAAAACTGAAAATATTTCACTCTTACAAACAGTACTTTAAAAGACGACCTGAACCAATCTGTTCCAGAGGTAAATACTGGGGCATAAGTTAAAATAGAAAAGTTTTTTAATTGAACAACTTACAGGCTCTTAGCAACTTTCTTTGTTGGAGTGTGTGAACTTTGGAACTCTTTTTAGAACCACATGGTTTTCATATTCAGTATGCCTGCATGCATATATATGTATAGATAATTGCTATGCCTTGTACCAAGGATATGAACTGTGTAAAATTACTGTAGGAAGTTGTAAATGATGTATGAAATGAGAAATCTTTGCCCACTGGCAGTACATAGATAGAACAGAGATAGTGACGCACAATCTCTTCTCTGTCATTTGTCATAGTATTCATCTTATAAAAGGCAGAACCTATCAATAAACTTGAGTGTCAAACATGCATGCTAAACAATATATTGTATTTTTCCTTCTTCAGGTCTTACCTCTTTCTTGAAAACCAGTTTACAAAAACCTCTGAGCCCAAAGAAAATGTAAAGAACTTCTATGTTAATGATTTCAATTATCCATCCAAATCATTAAATGTAAAAATTCTAAATCTCACCGTGTGGTTTACCTTTTTTAACCTTACACGCAATGATGTTGAATTTTCAGACTTGCCATCCAATGGAAACCTTCCTACAAGGACATATAAAGAGGCTATATCTACAATATCTAACATGCAACCATTTAACATGTCAGAGAGCAGCACTGATATTTTCATCTTGCCTCCCAGTGCTTGAAAGACAAGATTTCACCCTTCCATTGACTAGAAGAAGCAAATGGAAGCAGCATCTTTCTACGAAATCAGTTTTCATATAAAGTTCTTGTGGCTGACTTCATCTCACTGACGAATCCCCAAATCAAATATTTGACCAAACAATTGTGGCAGTTAAACTTATACAGATTCAATGCCATCTTGTCAAAAAATATGCTTGTACCTGGAAAATTGAAATTTATTTTTAAAAGACCATTATAAGTTGTCACATACTTTTAGATTACAGAATTTAAATCTAGAAATTAAAATAAACAACAAAGGATCCAAGGCTCCATCTATATATGAATTTAAAACCAACATGATCAAGTAAGTTAAAAAAAAACACACGAAAGCATAAGCTAAACTATGTTTCTTGTCTTCAAGGAGTTGACAGCTTACTAATGTAAAGTTCAAAGGATGAGAAGTGTTTTTCCATGACACCTGAATTTTATTTTTTATGAACACAGGAATACGGGAAGAAATTTAAATATTCATGCAATTGCCTCTTCCTCAAATGTTACTGTGTTCCCTCATGTACCATTTATGGTTTCGTTTAAAACAAACAAACAAAGAATATGCTTAGGCATTCGACTTTTTTATAGTATGTTATTTGATAATTCTTTCTGAAAATTGTAAAACAAATATTTCATCTTCATTTCAACAAAGAGTTCATCTCTTCTTGGAATCACAACTGATTTTTCTTTTGCTTGATGGAGTTAGAAGTAAAATATCTGATTTTATTTCCCATCAGCTGACCTCATAGATGAACGTATTTCATTTTGCATATGAGTCACATAAAAATGATGTTATCATTTTTCGCTGTGAATAAAGTCAAACAGCATAAGACAAAACAGTAACTACATTTGGCTTTTTTTTTTAAAGTAGAATGTAAATATTGTCTTATTACAACAAACAGGTAAAGAGTAGAAATTAAATACAAATCTTCAAGCTCAAGAAAAACCTTTCAGAGGTTGATCCATTATTTAGATTATATTTAGAACCCATGCATTTCCACCACCACCTTAAAGGTTGATGTACTTATTATACTAATGTTTCTTTTGTGCTCTCTTTCTCTTCCTTTCATTGCAGTTGTCCCATTTTGGTTGGTGGGACAGCTGTCACTCAGTTGCTACTACCTATTCAGCTCCTTGTCCAAGATTCAGTTCTTGTTACTTTCAACTGTTGTTTAGTCAATAAATCATATCCAACTCTTTTGTGACCTCATGGACCACAGCCTGCCAGGCCCCCTGTCCATGTCATCTTATAGGCAAAGATACTGGAGTGGGTTGCCATTTCCTTCTCCAGGGGATCTTTCTGACCCAGGGACCGAACCCTTATCTCCTGCACTGGCAGGCAGATTCATGACCACTGAGCCACCAGGGAAGCCCTGTTACTCTCATTAGCTTATAAGAAATCTCTGTTTCTCTATTCTCCTTCTTTCCTCTTTTCAAGTATGGATAGATATTGAAACTGTGGAGTCAGCATATTAACAACTGACTGCTGTCCAATTCCTCTCTTGTGACATTTTCAATTTACATGGTTTAGGTGATCAAAAACACAAAATCTGGGACCATTCAGAGAGTACCACCTGGACGGACAATTAAGGAACACTTGTTCACATCCATCTGTCAGATCGTTATCCCCACCATCCACACAGAGATGCTATCAAGTAGCATCAGTGACCACTTATTTTCTTTCTCAGGACAAATAAACCATCCCCACTCCATGCACTGGAGTGACAGCACAACACTGGGGTTAATTTAAATGAGTAAAATAGGAAAAAGTCTGAAGGCAAGAAAAACAGGGCCTCTTCTGATATTGATCAGTTACTCCGTGTTAAAACAATCAGTAAAATCAGTCCAGTATGATCCTATTTACTCTTAGGTAGGGGTAAGTATTCCAAACTAATTGTAGGAGTTGTACCATTGGATTATATGTTTTTGTTTTTTTATTTCTCTTCGTGTATATACAGTAATGTTGAAATCTGCACAGAACTTTATACAACTTACAACACATCCACGTGGATCTCTGGATCTGCCACCTCTTCTATTAGGAAATACTCATATGAGCTTCAGTTGACTCAATCCAATTGAAACATTTAAACCCACATGGTGAGGATGAGACTTGAGGATAAGTCAAAATGCCTCATAATTTGATGGCTCAGATGATGTATCTACCTGCAATGCAGGAGATCCAGTTTCGATCCCTGGGTCGGGAAGATCCCCTGGAGAAGGGAATGGCTACCCACTCTAGTATTCCTCCCTGGAGAATTCCATGGACAGAGAAGCCTGGAGGGCTACAGTCTACAGGATCGCAACAAGTCAGACAAAACTGAGCGACTAACACTTTAACTTTTAAAAATTCCATCAACAATAAATATCACAGTAAAAATTATTCAGGTTACCTTTTGTTAATCAGAAGGACAGAAACTCTCTCTCTCTCAGGTCCTTTCCTTGGTTCAAAGTATATTTCGGTTCTCCCACTGTCTACCGCCCATTTTTTTTCTGGTAGTTGTACTTCCTGCTAATCATTTTTCCTGATAACTCTCTAGAAATATTTACTCAGTTAATCTCTAAATTTGACACCAGAGTTAATTTGCATCAAAAGAGCTACATTTGTTAAAGGTAAAAAGACCACTTAATTTAACCAGTTTTACTATAAGCATGAAGTTGCTGCTTATTTACTCAAGCCAGACATCCTTTGCAGCTAGCCTTCTTCTGTGGGTAGAACTCTTTTTCCACATTCCAATAACTCCTGGCTCTCCTTGCTCTTTTTGGGCTAAGTAAGAGCTCCCTGCTCTTCAGTTTCTGTTAGTCCTGTTCATTTCTAAACAAATTCTTCAGTCAGACTCATCAATTGTCTCATTGAGTGTGCTATCTTATTTTTTGATAGATCAAATCTCCAACTGTGTGCCAGAATTCAGTCTTTTCTATATACTGTTTTGTTGAACGTTATGTTGATAACATAACCCATATTTTATACATAAAGAAATAAAGACTCAGAATGTTTAATAAACTTTCCATGAACTCAACTAATACATAAGATAGCCCAAAATTAAATCATAGTCTCTTACTCAAAGTCTAGGATTCTTTCCCCTGCTGTTCCGTTTTCTTCTCTTCCCTCCTTAATGGTGTGCCCTTGGTAACATCCACCAGGGCTTATCCACTGAGGGCCTTCAGACCACTGTAATGGATTGAAACTGTATCCAGCTAAGCTCATAGGCATACAGAAACAACCTGTGTGTGCCTGACTAATAGTCATTTTGGCCAAGAATAACTACTGAGCATTAGTAAAGGGTCAAATTTTTCACTATTACTATCAACCCTGAATCTAAGGACTGCCTCCGTATGGGTTCTGAAAGCATTAAAATTAGAATTATTTTTGCCTCTCCTGATGACACCACCCTTATGGCAGAAAGTGAAGAGGCACTAAAAAGCCTCTTGATGAAAGTGAAGGAGGAGAGTGTAAAAGTTGGCGTAAAGCTCAACATTCAGAAAACTAAGATCATGGCATCTGGTCCCATCACTTCATGGGAAATAGATGGGGAAACAGTGGAAACAGTGTCAGACTTTATTTTTGGGGGCTCCAAAATCACTGCAGATGGTGGTTGCAGCCATGAAATTAAAAGACGCTTACTCCTTGGAAGGAAAGTTATGACCAACTTGGATAGCATATTTAAAAGCAGAGACATTACTTTGTCAACAAAGGTCCGTCTAGTCAAGGCTATGGTTTTTCCAGTGGTCATGTGTGGATGTGAGAGTTGGACTGTGAAGAAAGCTGAGTGCCAAAGAATTGATGCTTTTGAACTGTGGTGTTGGAGAGGATTCTTGAGAGTCCCTTGGACTGCAAGGAGATCCATCCAATCCATCCTAAAGGCGATCAGTCCTGGGTGTTCATTGGAAGGACTGATGCTGAAGCTGAAACTCCAATACTTTAGCCACCTCATGCGAAGAGTTGACTCATTGGAAAAGACCCTGATGCTGGGAGGGTTTGGGGGCAGGAAGAGAAGGGGACGACAGAGGATGAGATGGCTGGATGGCATCACCAACTCGATGGACATGAGTTTGAGTAAATTCCGGGAGTTGGTGATGGACGGGGAGGCCTGGCATGCTGTGGTTCATGGGGTCGCAGAGTCGGACACGACTGAGCAACTGAACTGAACTGAACTGAACTGACAACACATTAAATAAAAAGGATGGCAAATGGATAGACAGACAACACAAGATAAGATAGCAGACTATTAACAGATCAGGGGCAGGGCGGGGGGTAGGGATGGTGGTTAAGAGACTTAGATCTAGGTGTTGACTATGGAGAAAACAGCCAGTTTATTCACTGCTCAGTGACTCGGTCAGTTGGCAATGCCAGCAGGTGGAATCTAATAAGGGAATGCAGATTCTAGAGTTCCATGGCGCTGTAGGGGTCAACTGGGAAGTGGTCTATGCTCAACAAAACTGCAAGTTCTTAGGGATATGGGGGAAAAAATAGTACTAGTAAAAATTAGGTGACAATCCAGAATAATACATACTCTTTAGATTTGTTTGGGAGAGTAATTAAAATGGCTTAGACGGTGAAGAAATCTGTCTGCAAGGGAGAAGACCTGGATTCCATCTCTGGGTGGGGAAGACCCCTAGAGAAGGGAATGGCAACCTACTCCAGTATTCTTGCCTGGAGAATTCCATGGACAGAGGAGCCTGGTGGGCTACAGTCCATGGGGTCGAAAGAGTCGGACATGACTGAGCGACTAACACTTTCACTTTCTTCATATAGTATATGCAACTTGGTGCAAAGTATATGGGTGGCATAATGAAAGATAAGGGGAAAGATGCTAATAACTATGGATCTGATAAGATGGTCTCAAAAGGTGGGTTGGACCTAAAATATAGGCCAGTGAATAGCAGAGATCTTAACTGGAATTAAAAAAAAAACACCTGGAAATCAGGCATGAACTAGTATCATGCCTCAAATATAAGCACCTATCCTACAAACACTTGTGTTCCTACAAAATTGCAACAGAAATATGACACGTGCTGACAACCCTCCCCAGACCTCTCTCCACAGGCACTCTGCTTTCCTCTGAGAGTCAAACTTCTAAACTTACGACACAAATTAGACCTGTTTTTTTCCCACAACTGACCTGTGATCCGGAATTACTGTTCCTTTTTTTTTATCAAAACCCTTATTTTGAAATTTTAGGTGTTAGAAAATCTATGTCATAATTGTTCATGAGATAAGGACTTTAATGTTTTCTCCTCAAGATGTTTGTTAATCTAAGTAATCTTTAATTGGTTAAGTATTTTAATGTTTTCAGGAAGTACTCCCATGAGCTGTGGAACATTCATTGGTAACCATTAACAACACAAAGAAGAAAAATTTTGTTCTATTTGTAGAGGACAACTGCTTCCTAGAAACTTTTAAGGAAAAAGGCAAAGATAACAGAAGTTTGAAGATTGTGCTTCCATTCATGCTTCTGTAGGAATTATTAGTCTCTCATGTCAGAAGGAGTCAGAAAATTCAATTGAGTTCAGATAAACTATTGTTTGTAATTATTTGTTATTTAATTTTCTAAATTAATTTGTACATTTAATAGAATTCTCTATCTTAAATAACCTCAAATAGATCTTTTTCTTAGAACATGACAGAAATTGATAGCAAGATTAATCTAGAAAAGAGGCAAGAATATTTTAAAATGTATGAAAAAGGGAGTAAGTATATACAAACATAAATTATTACAATTCATCAAGATTAAACCAAGGTTTAAGATACTTTTTTTAAATGTTAAAAAGATTAAAATAAGACTAATTAAAATACAATTCCATTTGAGATAGGTGTACAAACTTCTATACAATGTACAAACTAAAAAAATTAATTAATACTAACATACATGTTCATGTACACATATGAATATATATGAAGATATATCTATATATTTATGTTTGTGAATATAAATATATACATATATAATTATAGGAAGTGTCATTAAATATGTAAATAGGGGTGTTGGGATCATTTATTAGCATTCAGAAAAAAATGTAGGCCAATACAACAAACAATATTCTATAAATACTAACTTAAAATATTCAGCTAAAAACTACAGGAAATTAGCCAAGCAATTATAAAACTACCAAACATAATTTAATATTTATAAAACTCTGGAAGGCCAAAATTTTTTAATGTGATATTATAAATAAAATCACAATGGACTATATTAACAAATTTGACCATTTAAAACTGCTGAAGAGTAACAATTTAAAATTTTTTTAATGCAGAGAACAGGGAATATTTGTAGCAAATGTTAATATAATGTAAAACTTTCTTATAAAGGGAAAAAATAAGAAATATAGACAAAGGATATTGTATGCAATTCAGACAAAAGCAAATATATTTTAAAAATTAAAAACTAGAGCAAAGTAATCATGATCTATTCTAACCAAAGAAATTCAAACTAAAATAGCAGTGAGATATTTTTACTTATTAAAGCAGGGGATTTTTTAAAATTTTATTTTGACTTAATGTTGGTATTACTCATATTCTTGGTGCCTTTTTAAGTAGATAAAAATCAACCAGAAAAAAACTAGATATACCTTTCAAAACTTTAAATTATTTACTTTTAACTGAAAATAAATCACTTGAAACTTTAAGCATATGGGTGTTCTCTGATTCTAAAAAAATACATAGTCTTTAGAGAAAAACTTTAAAAAAGCAAAGAAAAAAAGGAAAAAGCATTAGTAATTACCTATTACCCCACATACAAAATTAACCATAATAATCATTTGATAACATTTCCTTGATAGTTTCATACATACACAAAGTTGAGCTCTTAATATATCCATGTGTACATGTAATTGTTTTTGCTTTGCTTTTTCATTTTAGAATTATTAAAGACTCAGCCAGAATCATTTTAATATTGCATAATCCTCTACTGTACTTCCATGAAAAACAGTAAGTGGAGTGATTTTGGTATTTCCTTCTCCAGGGGATCTTCCTGACCCAAGGATTGAACCCAGGTCTCCCTCATTGCAGGCAGATGCTTTAGCACCTGAGCTACCAGGGAAGCCTTACTCTTTGCAAAGAGTCCTACTCTTTGCAAATTCCCCAGGCCAGGATACAAGAGTGAGTAGCCTTTCCCTTCTCCAGGGGTCTTCCCAACCCAGGAATCAAACCAGGGTCTCCTGAATTGCAGGCAGATTCTTTACCAACTGAGCTAGCAGGGAAGCCCTAATACTTCCATCCCATATACCTCCAGGCCAAGTCTTATTTCCTTATGTCTTTATCATAGGACATTGAGGCAACCTTCAGGATTCAAAACAACAATGCTGTCTACAACAGCAAAAGTTCAGAATCCATCGAAACTCTAATAATATGAAGAGTTAGAATACATCTAGCCATTAAAGTAATAACAATTCTACAATAGGATGGAAATATGCTTCTGATGCAATGTCTATCTACTTGCAATGCTGAGTTTAGCCCTGCTAAGAAACTTTGCCTGCTACATTACATTGGTCCAGAATTAAATGTTCATCTCACTCCTATTTAATAGGTAGAAATTCCAGTCTTGTTCATGCTCTGTATCTCTAGTTTTACAGTGCCTCTTCTTCAACCACATTGTGAGCACCCAAGATATATTAGTTATATGGTTGAGTAAATTGCTAATGAAAAGACTAAGGAGAGTAACAAAGCTTTGCCCACATTCTTTATCTCTTTTTCTTCTAGTTAATTTTCCTTTCTCTTATTGGCATTTAGGCATTCTTTAATCCTGCGCTTTTTAGTTTGTGTATGTGTATGTGGTCAGTCTCCCAGTCATGTCTAATTCTTTGAGACTTTATGGACTATAGTCCACCAGGCTCCTCTGTCCATGGGATTCTCCAGGCAAGAATACTGGAGTGGGTTGCCATTTCCTGCTCCAGGGGATCTTCCTGACCCAGGGATTGAACACCCATATCTCTAGCATCTCCTGCATTGCAGTTAGATTCTCTTAATCTTGGGCTTTTTGGTTAAGAACAAATGATTGGCAAAAGATTCGGAAAATATACTACCTTCATTCTATCATGAGGTTACATTTACAGAGAGACCATCTGGGGAGGAAGTCAGCCTTATAGATGTATTACTATTTGGTTCCCACTTGTCCTGGCTTACAGAATATAAGAGTTAAGTTCAAGAACAAGATTTCCATCTGATGATACCTGTGATAACAGATGGCATTCAGATAAGCTTTTAACATTAATACCAAATTAGAATGGAAAATGTGGACTTCCTTGGTGGCTCAGATGGTAAAGAATCCTCCTACACTGAGAGAGACCTGGGTTCAATCCCTGGGTTGGGAAGACCCCCTGGGGGAGGCCATAGCAATCCACTCCAGTATACTTGACTGGAGAAGCTCCATGGACAGAGGTGCCTGGCAGGTCCATGAGATCGCAAAGAGTCAGACACGACTGAGTGACTAAGCATAGCACAGCACAGAATGGAAAATAATGCCTAATATCTTTCTTGGAAAGAGAACATTTACCAAACACAGCTTCTAGACTCTGAAAATTTGACTTAATTCCAGCAATCTAATACAAGAAATGTTTTTGTCTCTAGCAGTTAGAAAAATCCTAAGCCATCTAATTCACTGCATCTATGAATGAAATATGGTTGAACATTTAGGAATGCTCCATCTATGTCCTTTTGTCTGTTTTGTCTAAGTGTCCAGCAAGATGGCTATGCTGCACTTCATGAAGCTACACTTTTGCTGCCCAAATCGTTCTGAACATCCTGGTTTATTTGGACAGTGCATACAGTCCGACAAAGCATCTCCACTTTGCTTGTAACTGTCAACAGAAAGGGCGCCTTCTGGTCACACACGAGGGCACAAGTCGCCGAAGTCAAAGGAAAAGAGAGAGATGGGATATTTGTTATTCCTGTCAGTGAGAAAGGGAGAGAGCGTTACCATTCTTTCTCCAAAAAAAAAAATTATGTATGGCACTGCCTAGCAGACTTTGAAAAAAAGCAGAAAACTTAAAAATGAAGGAACGTGGAAAACTTATCATAAATATCACTACTTCTGCTGAAGAAATTTTGCTATTTATAACACCTTCACAGTTTACAGGACTGTGTTACATAAGCCTTGTCTGCCCATTTATGTATACATGTAATTTCCCTTCAGGGAAATAGATTCTTCACATAAGGGTGAGAGAAGAAAACGTTATTTCTTTTCCTACAAACAAGGCAATGAAAGCTGAAATAAAACAATAATTTTTAAAAATTTTGTTTTCTTAGTTCATGAACACATAGGCACGCACATACATGCATACATACACAATAGTGACAGATATACAGCTTCAGAACATTGGAAAAAACATGGCATTCTTGGTAGCCCACAATATACATCACATTCTAACTTTATGCTCTTAAATTAGTCTCATGGAATTAATATTTAACTGAATGGTCTTACCTCATAATTTTTGTCATTAAATATACCATAGAGCTACAAGATTTTTAAATATACAGTATCTCATTCACCATTGTAGCCACATCCCAGTTCAAAAATCTGAATCTGATGTCAACTATGAAAGAAAAATGTAGTTAATTGAAAATTTTGTTTACAGGTTATTTCTATCACATATGGAACCAAATTATTCAAGTTTCGTGTTTTGAAGTCAACAAGTTTACAGAATCATAATATTCTGAATTACATCTCTGTTTTTAAAGATTTTTCTCTTGATTTGGACTCTGCTTTGATTCTTAAGAGAATCCTCGGAAGAAAACAGTTTTTGATTTGAAAGATTACTCCTTAGTATGACATACTAAAAATATAACTTTTCAAATAGAAAATCTATATATACTTAAAGCCATCAAAACGTCCTACAAATTAATAGCCACACATAAAGTTTACTGAGTACTTAAACAATGTCAGACTCTGTGCTATTCCACAGGATATTTAAAAGCCATTTCTTAAGGGATCCCTCCCTGTTATTATAATACCCACTTTATAGAAAAGGCAAACTTGGTCTGAAGAGATTAATAACTGGTCTAGGATGACAACACCATATTAACTAGAGCTAGAGTTCTAACTCTCTTTTCACTGACTCCAATGTTTCCACTCTAACGTACTTTGCTCTACTGTTTGCTGAATAATAATTGTGAACTTCTGGCATTTTCTGTTTCCATCATTAGAGGTGCTAGAACACTGTATTTGCTTAGATCCCCATCTTCATGGCAGCCGAAGGGTAGAAAAACAAAGTACTCTTTAATGTAACAAATCTGAATAACCAATGTTGAGATCAGTCCTTTTAAATCAAATTTTGATCAAAGCAAATATGCATTTTCTTGTTTAACACTTACTGAGCACCTATTATTGGCAAAGCATTCTCTGTACATATAAACACTACAATTTTTAAGGAAGTAAACTAATCATATTGCTTCAGCAGAGTATACACCTGTAATGGGTATCGCCGATTTTCACACCAGCTGCAACTTACGAGTAAAGAAAACAAGTAATTTTTAGCGAATGTCTTTTTGAACAAAAACGAATGCAGCAGAACTAATAAAAGCAACCACTGATGACAACATAGAAAGTTAAGCACAAAATCCTGTCTATCTAAGGAGTAAAAGCTAATAAATTCTCCCACTGAACCATAGATTTATACTTGATCTTATATAATAGAATGTAAATGCAACAACCACAATCAAGAGAATACAGTCGTGGACAGTAGAACATCATCTCCTGATAATGTCGCAGAAACATGTAATTCAAACCAGATCCTTTTTACATGGAATACTTGGATTTTACTAAATGTGTACATCTTCTACAAACCCATCAGTAAATTCATACCACTGAGCACGGCTGGGATCTGGATACCGGATCACTGGAGAAGCCTCAGAGATTAAAGCTGCGACATTGAACAGTCTGTTTTCTGTATCCTGGGATGTATATCTAACTCTGATGTGTTTACCCTGCTTCAGAACAAAATAGTCAGACAAAGTCAGTAGACTTTGGCAAAGGATGCTTTTTCCTTATTTCTTAGCGAGGAGAAAGAAAAGAAAGAAGAGCTGTTTCTCCTCCAGTGATACAGACTATATTCTTACTCAGTTTGATTAAAAAAAGAAAAAGAAAAAGAGCAGTTTTTACTAAGGGACTTCTAGAGAAGCATCATGACAGGGTTCCAGGGGGACACTGAACCTCATCTCTACTACTTTTGTGCTCCATCAGCTTGGCCAAGTGACTTCAACCGTCTGTTCCAATTTCTTTCATCTACGAAGTGGGGATAATAACTATGTCTACCTCAGTGAGGACCTGAGTGGATCAAAGTGACAATGTAAGTGAAGTCCTTATTATACACTGCACACTCAATAGAGATTCACGTAGCTTCCCAACTGTCAGCAATGACGAAAATGGTGGCCACGAGTCTCACTGTACCTATGTTTGCTATAAGAATTCCTCAGTCTTTCCATTCTGAACCCCCCACCACCACTGTCCCCTAGCAAGCGTGCTGTTCTATTCCATGTGGAACATTCCAGCTGAGCCAGTTCTCTGTGATCTTCCAAAGAGAGAATAAGGCTAACCCCAAAAAGGTATTCTGATGCCTTTTGTGGACATCATGCTAGGTGAAGTAAGGTGGTCACACAAAGATGAATATCGCATGATTCCACTTAGGTGAGAGATCTACATGGTCCAATTAATAAAAACAGAATTAAATGGTTGCAGAGGCTTCAGGAACATGGACATGAGGAGTTGGGTAAAAAGTTTCAGTTATGCAAGATTAAAAAAATCTAGAAATTGGCTGTAAAATATTGCGCCTACAGTTGAATACTGGACACTTAAAAAATTTGATAAGAGGGTACATCTCATGTTATGTGTTTTTTTTTAACCATAAAAAAATTGGTATCCTGAGATGCTGAGCTATGCTAAAGAGGCTAGGCTTCCTATATATTTCATTCATTTTTACTAAATCCCTAAGAAAGGAGACCCAAAAGATATGTTCAAAACTTACATTACAGTTAGACGTTATCTGACACTTGGAGCCAGATTCTCCCAGTCTGTCAGCTGCTGTCTGTTAGAGAAATTTTATGCCTGGAAGCAGTTGGGGCACACAATAATTCATAAGTGTGACTTCCAGAAACACCCACTTCACACAATACCAGCATTAAGCATCCAAACTCCTAAAGCTGTAAAATACAAGGATAATGGCACCAATAGAATGAGGATTTTAAAGGGTCTGTGATTTCAAAGATTTCAAAGCTGTGTTATTTAATCGCACAACCCTCTTGTCTTTTCCCAAATATTAATTTCTCAGATTAAGTAGGAGCATCTAAATTGGTATCATGGGATCTGAGAAAAGAATTTGTGCTTCTCCTAAATATAAATAGTAACATTGTGGACTATTATAAAAATAAAAAGGGGTGGCAAGGAAGGAATAACATTCTCAGGAATTGTAAATGCATAGCAGAATGATTACAACTTTGTGTCATGCATTCTGTCATTTCTAATCACACACAGATAAGACTTCCCATACCAAAAAAAAAAAGAAATCGATGAGCATATAAGCTCACAATTTCAGTCCTGAATTTAGCCAGGGAGTACCTTCCCTGGCCTCACAAAATAAGAGAGAAACAGTCACATTCTTCAAGCCACGTTGATTAAACACTTAAAACAGGAAGGAGTCAGGGAGTGATGGATTTGAAGTGGACCAATTCAAGCCCTTTCTTTTCAGGCTATTTCTTTATCCTTGAATAAAAACGTAAATGTGAGAAAACAAAATCCTTAAAGATTCTGAATCTCTTAACTAAGCAGGCATACTGTGAAATTTTTCAGAATTCTTCATAATCCTGGCCTTTTTAGTTTTTAACTATTCTGGAGTGTATTTCTTTAACTGACATGATTTTTACTGGATATCAACTTTGAAGGTATTTAAGAAATAGATAAATGAAAATATTTTTTAACCTCAAGATCTAAGAGAAAATTCTTACAAATACTGTATCAGCATTCTTGATGATGTTTTAAAATAGATATGTACATTTCGGGACCTATCAAGCACTTAAAAAAAGATGACTTCTCAAGGCAATTTGCAAACCTTGGTTTCATCGAGATATATGTCAGTATAAATCAGGAACCTTCAGTTCACCGTTTTTCTAAACAAGTATGCCATAATCTTTGCTAGCTCTGTTTCCGTGAGACCATCATAAATCTACCACACTGCACTGTCTCCTCAGACCACAGTCACAGATTCAAATACTTGAGCAGAGTAAACTACACCTTCGGCGAGTCTATATCAGAGTTCGTAATCTCCCTCACCTGTGGTGCATGTTTCATTTTTAACAAAGTCTTCCTAGAAATGTACCCGTCGTGCTTCAAATCTATCCATTATTATCATACTCTATGGAAAACTACCTTTTTTCTGTCAGTCTAGCAACACAAAATAGGAATGGACACTCCTTTTTAATGTCTGTACATAAATGGTTTGCATACAATGTCTACTAAATTAGCCAGCGTGGACTTTGGTGGATTGAATGCAAACAGAGACTCAATTGGTATAAAACATTTTTCTTAGTTTGTCACTGCTGATGTTCAATTTGCTTTGATCTAAAACTGGTAATATTAACCAAGAGGAAGGGACAACTAAGATCCATTATTTTACATTTATTTCTAATACTGAAGGTGTCTACTAAAAAAAAAAGTAAAATAAAAAAATGAAATGATTTAATTTTCAGTTTTCAAACTTAAAATGGTATATTAAAGTCAGAAAAAAATGTTTAAACCTTTCCCTTTCTGGAATTACAGTTTATAGTTTTGTATTTATTGAATGCATTCATAGGCTCCCTTAGGATGTGAAATGTATGGAAATATATGTGCATTACTAAAGAAAGAACTAAATTTATTCTTTCCCCACATCATGCTCTTCTTTGCAGTGGAGGTTTTTAATTCAATACAGAGCTAGAATGAGATGGAGCCAATTTCCTGGTCTATATGTGTGACAAATGCTAAAAGTGGCACAAGATTAACAAATTAGTTGAAGTATAGATCTTAAAAGATTTTTTTTCCTGTGTGTCTAAATCAAAATTCATACTTTATTTGAAATGAAGCCTTCTTTAGAATTCAAGAATGACCAAAGATGTTTTATTTCTCTGTATTTAAGATGAAAAGAGAGGATGTATGACAACATGCTAGCAATTTTTAAAGCAAATTGTATTTGTGGGAAAGCTTACAAAGATTATATATTTGGAGTATAAAATCATTTTCATTGAAACAGTAACTCCAATGTATGATTTAGCAAAATAAAAATAAAAATTATTTTCAAAATAAATAGTTATTCCTAAAATAAAAGCATAAAATGAATTACAGGGGTAAAATTTATGTATTTCTGTATTTCGGGGTAAAAATAATATTTAATATATTAGGTCCCAGATAAATACATTTACTTTTCTAGTAGCATTTCTTGTTTTTTGATGTTAAATGAAAACTATCAAAGCTTAGCTATTTCACCTAACTTCAGAATCATGTACTTGATACATATCTAACACCAAACAATAAAAACATCTGTGACAATAAAAGCATGGAACAGTTGTGGAATTGTTTAATTTAGGAGAAAATAGCTATGTTTGATAATCACATGTGCATGAATGGATTTCTCCTCTTTGTCAAGAAAGTTATATTTTGCAAATGGTCTTTTGTTTTTCTGAAAGGAATCAACTTATTACGTGAAAGGGATTTTTAAAAGGTATTCTGAAATATGTGTTTTGGATTGAGCTCACTCACTGAGGTTGAAAGCCTTGTCACACAGTCCACCTGTTTTGCTTGGGCTTAAACTATATAAAAAATACAGCATCTTAAAGCAAGCACAATCTTACTTCTTGTACCCAAACATGATAACATGCTTAAAATTCAAGAAGAGTTCTATGCAGGTTGTATGTCTCAGTCACCCAATCTCCTTTCACATATCTGTTCATGTTGACAGACTATGTCATAATACATCAGCAGAAAGATCAGCACAGAAGAACAAAATTTCATCACCTGACAGCAAGAGGAAAACTGATTTTCAGTATTAAATTAGTAAAAATATACCATTACCTCACTTCCAATAAGTCTACTACCCTTAAAAAAGAAGGTATCTGCTATAATCAGAAATGTATGCAAAAACTATTAGGTTTTATTTATTTCTTTGGTATCACCCTTTGATTGACAGCCTATTTTCATTTTTATCTTTTATAAGTTATTTTAT